TCATTCCACACAATCCGAGTCAGTCCAATCCAACAAATCCTTATTAATCACCTGCTACATATCAAATATTGTTTCCATGCTCTCCTTCATAAAAAGGGAATAAAGGAATGAATATTTATAGTATGCATCAGGCTTTGGGCTAAGCACTTTTACAAATGTCATCTTATTTGATCCTTATGACAACCCAGAGAGGTGGCTGCTATTATTATCCCCATCTTACAGTTAAGGAAACTGAGGCAGACAAAAGTTAACTGACTTGCCCAGGGTCACACAACTAGTTAGTGTGAGGCTGAATTTGAACTCATGTCTTTCTGACTCCATACCCAGCACTCCATTTACTGTACCACCAGCTACTATAAAATGAGGATGATGATAGCAACTAACTCAGATGGTAGGTGTGAAAATCAAATGAGGATTACCTCATTTGTATAAAGCACTTTGCAAATCAAAACATTGTATAAATGTGACTCATTATCATCATCATTCTTGTTGTGGTGGTTGTTAAAGACAATGGGATGTGGTGTACTGGGCAGAATTGTCCTCATAACCAGAAAAGTCTGGATTCATTCTTTGCCCCTGTCATACCTTGGCTGTGTGACTCTGGGCAAGTCACTTAACCCCAGTGAATCAAGAAGTACTTTAAGATTCTAAATGGCAAATAAGGTTGATCACTGGCTTGGTCAAGAAATTTACTCATCTACTTGTTCTCTAACTCCCTGTCCATATGTCATTGTTATTATTGCTAATATTGGGTATTATTTTGATGCTCAATCTTAGAAATACAAAGACATAAGTGAAATATTTTCTGTTCTTCAGAAGCTAACATTCTTCTCTGATTCAACCCCAGTGCCTGGTACATAATAGGCACTTAATACATGTTGATTGATTGAGTGATTGGTTCTAGAGAAAACAACTTGTCTACAGATATGCCAATACACAGTATAAGCCCAATAATATAAAGTGATTTCAAGAGGAATAGAACAGAAACAAAAGAAACACCTTGAGTTTCCATAGCAATTTCCTTATAATATCTCTCTGGACCGCTCAGTGGGATTCTAATTTTCCCCAGCTACCCGTCAGTTATTCAACAAACATTTATTAAATATATGCCATCAGTCAGACACTGTGCTAACCAGGCACTAGAGATACAAGAATGACGCATTGAACAAGCCCTAAGAGCAAATGAAGTTTCTTGGGTACTAATTGCCTGATTTCTGGTTACACAGCTGCTAAGCGTGTCTGCGTCAGGCCTCCCCTACCCGTGTCCTTACTCTATTTTCATACTTTATCATTATCCTCATCAGGTAAGAGGGACAATTGTTTTCATGTCTGTGCTCTCCCACTCCATCCCTCAATCTGGGCACACAGACCTACAAAAATATTCTAGCTCTGAGCCCTGTGATGCTTTTTCAGGGCTTCTTATACTTTTTTTCACTTACAACCCCTTTAGCATTTCTTAAACTGGAGGTCCTGACCCCATGTGGGTCTTAAAAGGACAGTTTAAGAAGAACTGCTTAAGTGCTGTATTAATGTCCTGAAAGAAGTAATATTCACATATTAATGTCCAGAAGGAGGTCATATTCCTCCCTCTACATAATGTTGCCTGATGATCTCAAAAGCCCCCGTGGATTCCATTAACTTTCCTAGGAATATGATTCCTAGATTTGTCCAAGTTCTCAACTCTCTCCTGACCCTCAGTCTAGCATTTCCAGCTGCCTGTTGAACATCGAAAACTGGATACCTTATAGAAATCTCAATCTCAACACATCTGAAACTGAACTCATTATCTTTCCACCAAACTTTTCCCTCTTCCTAATTTCCCCACTACTAGCAAGGGTATTACCATTCTCCTAGGGTTACCCAGGCTCTCAGCCATTTTGATCTTCTCACTCTCACTCCCATAGCCAGTCAGTTGACAAATATTCCATGAGCCTCATCTTCCTCATCTGTAAAAACAAGAGACTTGGATTAGATGGCCACTGAATTCCTTTCCAGATTTATAGCTATGATTTTATAGTAAGAATTGTCTAGAGCTCTGAGAGATGATGATTTACAAGATCATATAGAACATTCCAAAGGTAAGACTTGAATACAAGTCTTCCCCATCCCCAAGGTCAGTTGTCTATGTACTCTGATGAATTTCCTCTATAGAAGCCTTTTTTGTTAGGCTTTTCACCACTAAAAGAATGCATCGTACTAAGAGTGTACTTGGTCTCTGCTGACCAACTCCCTCTTTTGACTTGAACAAAATATTAGAATAAATAGTGAGTTATGTGCAGTGAATATGGGGGGGTGGGGAGTGATAAATAGCTAAGGTTTATAAGAAACAGAACACAGTAGAATAACTTGATAACCTTCCCTGGCAAAATGATAGGATGAGAGAAAGGGAATTTGTTGGACCGAAATTATTCAGATGCTACAGAGGCTGATGATGCGTCGAGGAGGGAAACTGGAAAGGTGATGTCTCAAAAATGCTGCAGGGAGAACCCACAGAGTAACTAATAAGGAAATATCCAATTGGGTTGAGGCTCCAAAGTGGAGAACTGATCCCATGAATTCCTGTGAAGAGAAAGTAAATTGCACTGTGATCCTATCAGCTGACAGTTTCAGCAAAGAAGGACTACAGAGAGATAAGAGGAAAGATAAAAATTCCTCAGCATGCTGGAGGTCTCAGAGGAATGGGGAAATTAATATCGGATAAGAGGCAGCTTAAATAAATGTAAAAGATCCCACCACAGCAGGGGAGTCAATCCAAGTAAAAGGGGAATTCTGTTTAAAGATCCATGAGATGAGACCATATGAGAGGACATTAGTGGGTTGGAAATTGGGTTGTTATTTTGGCGATGATTGCAACTCAGCTTCCCAAGGCTGGTCACGGGGGAAAAGGCTTGAGACAGTGACAAAAACAAGCAGAGGGCTGTGTATACAGGGCTGACCCCCCAGGAAGCTGGAGTAGGTTTAATGAGCAAAGCCCATACCAACTATTATGCATTTTACTTGTCTGCATAAGAGACATAATACCTAAGGATAGTGGGAGCCTCTTTGGTCATTTCTCGTAGGCCCCCATTATTCATGCGTTTATTGGGAATGTAGCTCAAAGCTTAGTAGCAAAGGATTATGATGTGAAGTGTATCCCCACAGCAGCTAATGCCCTCTACTCTAATTTTACTAACTTTCCATGTATCTTATAAAAAAAATCACTTTCTCTCCTTCCTTAGGGTATAGGTTCTCTCAGGGTGAAGACAATTTTTAATTAAACATTGTTATTTTTGTTGATATTACTTCCTTTCTTTGAATCCAAAGCACTTAGTGCCAGGCACATAGTATGTGCTTCATAGGGGGAAGCTAGATGGCTTGATGGGTAGAGCACTGGGCCTGGAGTCAGGAAGACCTGAGTTCAAATTTGGCCTCAGACACCTACAAGCTATGTGACCCTGGGCAAGTCACTTAACTTCTGTTTGCTTTAATTGGTTTTGCTTTACACAGGAGAAGGAAATGGCAAACCATTCCAATATCCTTGCCAAGAAAACCCCATGAACAGTATTGCCCATGTGGTCACAGAGAGTCAGACATGACTGAACAACATGTGCTTAACAAACATTTGTTGAATGACTGAATAATGCACGAATGGAAAACTTTCGACTGCTGAGTTGTTAAAAGTAACATCCCTTGGATTCGCAGGGGGAGAGACAATAGGTATACTCTAATTGGGTAGATGCATAGTGAATAAGTCTAGGGGTATAGAGACAAAATTAAGTTCAATGTAAGGAAAGCAACCCTACCTATTAGAATTACCCCAAGTGAAATGGACCATCTTTGGGAGATAGTGTGTTCCTCTTCAAAGCAAGGAAGTCTTTAACTAGATGATGAAGGATCAATTGACAAGGATGTCATAGAGAAAATTTCTGCTCAAGTCTGGGTTGGCTTCAATGACTGCTGAGGTTCCTTGTAGCCCTGAGAGTCTAGGATATTTGCATTTGAGCTGAGCAAATCCTTAGAATTAGGAAAAGCCATGTTCTAGAACCAATTTCTTATGGAAAGTAGATGCATAAAAATGGGGACTTGATTTGGACTGATAGGAAAAAAAAAATCTTGAATAAAGTCTTAGGATTATAGACCCAGAACTAAAAGGGACTGAGAAGAACATCTACATTAACCCACTCATCCTATAAATGAGGTCACTGAAGTACAGAACATAGGTTGTTGAGGCAGGATTTCAACCCAGGTCTCCAAATTCAATGCTCTTTTCACTTCACTGCTCTGATTTTATTTGACTTGCTCAGCAATTATTTTACCACCAAATCCAGCTGCTCTTTAACTATGTGCTGTTAAAACCTATTTAGCTGATTTTTTTTTAGTTTTCATCTTGTTCTGTATGCTACATACATAGCCCCATTTCTTTTCTCCTCTGTGTCTTTCATCGGCGATGCCTCATCAAGGTGTAGTGGTCATTCTATGTCCTCTGAAAACAGCTCCTACAAGTTCTCCCTTAGAGCTTTCTGGATGGAGAGATACAGAGACAGACTGAGTGTATGCCCTCTGAGCACCCACCTAGCTATTAGGGAATAGGGTCATCACCAGGTTGGCCTCAGAGTGGATGAGTTATTCAGGTGTGGCAAATCGCAAAGACTATTATGTGCAAACTGCATTGGTGAAAGGTATAATCACAGTGGTAAAAGCATTGAACATCAATTCATTTGTGTATCCTTGATCTGACTGGCATTAAAATATTATTAATACCAAGAAAAAAGTTTTATACAAATAACTTAAAATTTTATAATACTGGTTTTAACAATTGATTCTGTTTTTCTTACATTTGTCACACTTGTGACTTTTTCATCAGTTCCATGAATCATGGTTACCTGAATAAATGCCCTCCCCCCCACTCCAATTTCCACCTTTTCTATTCTTCTTTTTGGTCTTTGGGATTTGACAATCCTTTAGAAGCCATGCTTAATGGAAGAAATTCATTTCTAAATCATGGTATTTTCTCTTTCTAGACCCCTGAGGAGCTGGAAGATATTTCAGATCTGGAAGAAGATCACGATGTCCGCAGTCACACCAGCGTTCAGACAGAAGGGAAGACAGACCGGGTAGGTGTCCTTGAAAAAGGATGAAAGTCTCTGTTGTGCTAGGGTTGTGAAGCCAGGGAGCTAATAAAAACATGGATGGGCATGGCAGCTGCCTTGCAGCATCTGAGGGAAAACAAACACATTTCTAAAAAGACAAAGCAAAAAAAAAAAGGGGGTTGTGTTCTTGAATCTTTTTTTTTAATGTTCTGTCTTTTTTTTCTTTTGGTGAGGCAATTGGGGTCAAGTATCTTGCCCAGGGTCACACAGCTAGTAAGTGCCATATGTCTGAGGTCAGATTTGAACTCAGGTCCTCCTGACTCCAAGGTTGGAACTCTATCCACCGTGCCACCTAGTTGCACCTGTTCTTGAATATCTTATAAATTATTTTGCATCCTGTCACTTGCCCAGTTAGGGCTGAAGGGCTGAAAAAAAAAAAGCCCATTCATTCCTCTGTGTTTATCTCTAAAGCTCATAGGGAAAGCTGTTTTGGATAAGTCAGTGAATCACTTCCTTTCACTCTTTGGATGAGAATATCAAACTGAAATATGCACTTGTTTGTTTAGAGCAGGAAAGCCAAGCTGGATGAAATCATAACTATTTTCTAGACGATACAGAAAAAAAAAAAATCTTTCGGGATGAAAGCTCCACCTCTCGGTCTTCTTAACCTCCTACACAAAACCAGAATGGCAATGGGATTTTTGAATTTCCTTAAACAGCCTTAAGATTGGGACTAAATTTGTCTTTTTATTATATGCTTATTATGTGCTTGTCAGGGTGCTATAATTTTGGTCCCTATGAGTGAGAATATGGTGTCTAGCTGACAACAAGAGAATAGAATAATAGAATAACAATAGAAGTAAACAATAGCAGCAATTCCCAATCATGTATTGTGTTGCTATGGTTATTGTTTGTTGAGTCATTTCAGTCATATCCTGCTTTCCATGATCCCATTTGGGGTCTTCTTGGCGAAGATACTGGAGGGGTTTGCCGTTTCCTTTTCCAGTTCATTTTACAGAGGAGGAACTAAGGCAAACAGGATTAAGTGACTTGCCCAGGGTCACATGACTAGTAAGCGTTTGAGGCCAGATTTGAACTTGGGTCCTAATGTTCATTGAATAGCAAGCTTTCATTAATGGTTCTCTGGCCATCTTCATGGTCTTCAGCTTCACTCCAGTCTCTCCCAGTAAATGGAAAAACCAACACCAGCTCTGTGGCCCAGAGCTGCTGATTGCTGAGCTTTCCCCATATCTCGTTCACCCTATCAAGACCAACCATGTTCTCTCCATATTGAAGCACGTACATTTTCCCAGTCTTGCTGTGGGAACAGTAATCCAATCAAGAATGTCATTCTTGGAAAGAGGATGCCAATCAGTTGACCTAGGACTCTACTCACTAAATTTCTTACTTTGGTCTTCACTTCTTTACATATGTTATCTTGACCAACTAGAATGTGAACTCTTGAACACCAGGGACTATATTGATTTTGTACCTGCGGCCTCAGTGCTTAGCATAGTAAATAATAAATCCTTGTTAACTGATTGACTTAGTTTAAAAAAAAAATCATTACTCATTTGTACAGTCAGTGCTTGGTATGTGCTAGGAGATAGTGTGGAGTAACTGATAGAGAACTAGCCTTCAAGCAGGAATACTGAGCTTCAAGCACTGCCTCTAATTCAGACTGTTGGTGTGAACCTGGGCAAGTCACAGAATTTCTCATTATCCTAGACATCTTAGAAGGTGCAAGGTAGCTGGAGGGGAGAATGAGTTTCCTCACAATGAGTTCCTAACACTAGTAAAATCACAGATCTAGTCCATCTGTCTCTCCATATGCTAAGTACACAAAGAAAAATAGCAAGAGTCCAAGCCCTCAAGAAACATTCATTTTATTACAATATTTTATATCCTTTCACAATTCTGTTTTTTGTTTGTTTGTTTGTTTGTTTTAAGGGGAGGGAGGGTGGTGAAAATTTACACATAGAAAAATACAACAGACTTACTTATGTTATAGGGTGGGTAAGCCTTGAAGGAATCTAGGGATTCTAAGAGGTTAAGGTGAGACAGAACTGCATTCTAGGCAAAGGGGACAGCCTGTGCAAAGACTTGGAGGTGAGAGATGGCATGCTGTATACCATCAATTAGGCTACTTTGGTTGGAATGTAAAATGTGTTATAATTATTGTGTAAATTGGAATGCAAAGTATGTGTTAATATTGCCATGAAATAAGTGAAAGGAGAGATTGGGAACAGCTTGTGGAAGTGTTCAGATGTTAAGCTGAGGACTTCATATTTTATCACAGAGAGCACTAGGGAGGAAGAAGTTCTATAATAATCTCTAACTCCACAAATTGTTATGAGAATTAGAGCTGGAAAAGGCCTCAAGGGCCATCTAGCCCAAACCTCTCATTTTAGAAATGCCAATACTGAGCCCCAGGGAGGTAAAGTGACCCATCCAAGGTTAACAACATTATACAAGTACGTAGTTTGAAATATGTGTGCGTGTATGTGTGTGTATAGAGATATAGATATAAATCTATAGATATAGATCTATGTAAGGTTTTGTTTGTTTATTTTTGTTTGTTTTGTTGTTGTTTTTGTTGAGGTTGTTTTTACTATACCACATTGCTGAAGAAATCCCCTTGGAATACAGACTCTGTTGGACTTGAAATCAGCAGAGACCTGGGTTCCAATGTGATCTCTTCCAGTTGCTAGGCATGGGACTGTGGGGATTCCCTTTACCTCTCCGAGGCCTTGCTACCTCATACGTAATGAGGGATAGTGAGCCCTGTAAGCACCCCCACCTTGCCCAGGGTTGTGGTGAGGCTTGGCCAAAGTCTGTAGAACACTAAGACAAACTTAGGGGCTTCAGAGAAGGTGACTATTATTTTTGATGAGATGCATGCAGAGATAGTATGGGTGTAGGGGTCAAAAAAAAAGTCTGTACTTGGTAACATTGACTCCATCCTTTGACCCCCTGCTGGAATTCATGGTATTAAAACGTATTTTTTTAAACTAGGAAATACTTAAACCCATTATCTTGAGTGCAGTCTTTGTTTTATATATTCCATAGTAGGAGTTCCTTGAATCAAGGAGTCATTTGGTCACACATTGGGCAGCCAATGCAGATAAGTGTATCCTCTGAGAAGAAGCCTGCTGTTCATTCAGATTCTCTTAGCCATTTTCAGATCCAGGGATCCATGGAAAATGGCCAATTTCTAAACCCACAGGCCTTTGCATTTCTCCAAAATGTGATTATTTAAATTAATGAATATGAGATGAATTGAATTGAGAGAGAAAGACAGTAGTTTCTAGTGAATAGGATACTAAGCTTAGAGTCAGGAAGCCCTGGGTTTGAAGGCTACCTCTGACAGTTAGTAAATGTGTGACCCTAAGCAAGTCATTTTTCCTCTCAGAGTCTCAGTTTCCTTACAGGTAAAGTGAATATAACAGTATCTACCTCACAGAGTTGTTCTGAACTGTTTACATAAATGGAACAATGCACGTAAGGGATAAATCTTAAAGTGTGATATGCGTTATATGTTTTATTTAATCTAGAAAGTAAGGTTCTGATTCTGCTTCTGTTATGATGTTCTCTACACCCCATGTGAAATTAGAAAAAAAAAGTAGAGATGGAGGAGGAAGAGGAGGAGGAGGAGTGAGCGGTCAGTTCCCTGGAATAAGGAGGTGGGATTGAGGGCAGCAGGTCCAGGTCTGCTTGCTGTTCACCCTCTTCCCCTCCCCCATCTCCCACCTCTGAACCTCTCCCTAAGGGTCTTGCGTGTGAGTTTGTAGGGCTGTGCAAAGGAGGAGGAAAAAAGTGAGCACAACTCATTGATGCATTTGAAAAATACGTGCAATGTGTAACATCTGTGGACCGCTCACCTCCAGGAAGGGCTAGGGAGGAAGAACAAATAAGTCAGCCCTAGTAAATAACACGTAGAGGACATCTGTGGTTAGAGACACTGGCTCTGAGAACATTCTGGTTGCTGCAGGCTTGCTCTCTGTGGAAACACATCTTGTCTTAGAACACTCGGAGGAAAAGGTACTTGTGGCTGGCATACACACTAGGAGAATACTCAGAGGATAAGACATTTGTGGTTGGAGATACATGTTCTCAGAACATTCCAGTTACCACAGGCTTGCTCTCTGTGGAAATTTATCCAGTCTCAGAACACTCAAAGAACAAGATATTTGTGACTGGAGACATACCCTCTCAGAGCATTCTGCTTACTACATCTCCTAGCTATCCTAGAACCAGAGGGAGGACAGTAAAGGCTGTTCCATCTGTACAGTCCGAAAGAGAAAGGAGCTGACATCAGGCAGGGATGCTGAGCCACATCTAGGGCTGGAGGGGATCCCTGCATTGAAATTTGCTGTAAACAGGTCACCTTCAGAAGAAATCACCTGGTTAGAGATGGGAATACTGAAAAAAAGCCAAGCATCATGGAGCTGAATTTGGAAGAAAAGCTATAGCAAATCAGGGAACCAAAGACAGATGAAGTAAATAGGCAATAGAAAGGGAAATTACCTAGTACTAATACTGGGGACTAAATATGTCCAGATGGGCCAGTGGGGGTGTTCACTCCCAAGCCTCCCTAAACCTCACAGTAGGATAAATTGCCTAGACTCAAGGCTGGGGAACCTGCTGTCTTTAAGTACGGCCTTTGACCGAATCCAGATTTTACAGAAATGGGTTCCCCACCCCTGACAGATTCTCATAGGTATTGCAAAGCACCCTCCCCTTTTTTTTCCTTCCTTCAGTCTTCATGTTTTTGACTGCAGGCACTTTTTGCATTGTTACTGTACAAATAATACCTTTCCTATTGTTAATGCTTTGGTTCCATCGAGCGCTTATAGGGAATTTGGGGGCTCTTTTGAGGAGACTGAATGAGCAAGGCCTAGAAGGTATTTAGGGATCTTCTAATCCAACTTTCTTATTTCATGTGTTGCCTTCCCTAGATGAAGACACACAATCCATAAAAAATAAAAAATAAAAAAACACTTAATACATGATTGTCAATAATG